ACACACACAGGAGAGAGAGAGAGAGAGAGAAGCTGCTTAAATACTTAGAGAATCTGCTAGAGATTGGGTTGTTGATCACCATTTAGTTTTTTTTTTTTAAAAAAAAAAGCCTAAACGCAAATGGGAAAATTTATTTTCTTAATTGCTGAAAAAAAAATCAATAGTTCATCCCTCCTTTAACCAAGGGACTTCCCATATACCTTAAATAACCTATGGGAAGATCATTTACATCTCAATAACCATTCGGAACCATGTCATGTCATTAAAATCTGAACTGGATCTTAATAATGTAAGTTAGTGACCAGTAAGGGACTTTATTATCCAGGTCAAGCCCTTGGGGAGTGCAATAAACCAAGATGGTATCAGTTCTGTCTATGGAGGGATATATCTCAGAGAATAAGCAAAATCTCTTCCCTTGATTCTTATTTGGAGAATCATTTTCTAAGAAAAATATATCGACTTTTCCAAAATCTTTTAACAGCTCCATAAAACAGACAGAAGCAAGAGTAATATTTTGTTCATATCTTATTCAACATTATCTCTTTATTTATATATGTGCTCTGTCTATCTGTATTTATCTATCTATCATCTCTCTTTCACCCTCCATCATCTATCTATCTGTCTGTCTGTCTGTCTGTCTGTCTGTCTGTCTGTCTGTCTGTCTGTCTGTCTGTCTGTCTATCTATCTATCTATCTATCTATCTATCTATCTATCTATCTATCTATCCCTTTTCTTTAAAGGAATCCCAAACGAAAACACAGTAAACAATAAAACCAAATAAAATTGCAGAATTTTAAATCCTGAAACATGTCCATTACAACAATGTTGTCAGTCCAACTAGAGAGCTGGCCAAAGTTCAAATTTGAACATATTTTTGTACACAGCCAAAATGATCAGAGATGGATTCTGAAGCTATCAACGGACAACCTTAACGATGCTTTTTCATGAGGCAACTGGACTTTCTTGTTTTTCTTTGAAGATGTTTCACTTCTTATCCAAATAAAAAATTTGGGATAACTATAACCTGGATGACTGAGACTCTCCATATATATATTAATGGGCAAGAATCAAGAGACGGGTGTAACTATTTAAAGATACACTTTCAACAGACATTCTGTGCAATATACACACACAACATTTGATCCCGATATTGAAACATTTATTTCAATTAAGTCAGCTCTAACCACTTGGTGCACTTACAATATATACTCTTTATTGAAATCGCGTATGTGATTTATCCTTGCAACATTTACAGTCAAGCTTCTGTTAATTTTGCAGAAGGTTTTTATTTTTATTTTAAAAAGAAAAACTAAGGTCTCAGGGAGAGAATAAAAAACTATTACTGTAAATTAAATATTAAAATGAACTTATTTTTGCATACAAGTGTGATAGTTATGATGATAACTATTCTTAAGAGACGAACTTTTTGAAAGGGTAAAACATGTGCCAGGCTTTGAACTACCACATCAGCAATGGATAATCTTGAATAGGATTTGCACCTCACATGGCAATGAGGCACAGTATCCTCCCCTCATTGTGACTGTGGGGTCCTACATCAAAATGTAGATCACATTGTGACTGACTGTAAGCAGAGGGCATATGCCAATCTTGTTAGGATATTTAAATTTAGTAGCTGGAACAGTAAAATTGTACAATGGGCCAGAACACGCAGTTGTAGTTGATTGGTAGAGTGCTGGCCCCTGCATGAGGCAATTTATGCTGTGATTGGTTGCTGTGGATGTAAAGGGGATGTTTCCTTTTTCCCCACCTTTTTTCTTTTGTGTGCTCTGTATGCTGTGTTGATTTGCCTCATGATGTTAGTTCAAGCTTACGTTTATTACAGTCAAAGACCAGAGACCAGAACAAATAAAACACTCAATGAATATCCAGTTAAAATTCTAGAGTAAAATAATAAATAACAGATAAAATCTATATTAAAATCACAATTTGCCATCCAGTCTGTTAGTTACATATGGCTTAACTAAACTATAATATCAATACTTAAACTATGGGGCCCATAGTCATTGAATATTAAAATGCAAAAAAGAAAAAAAAATGGTAGTGCAAAAGAGTTTGCTACATTAGTTGTGTAAAATTGCTATGGTGGATTAATCACATGTTTAATGATGTTAATGTTAATGTGTTCCTGACTATCTGTAAAAGACATGCAAAATATATTTATTTATATAAAACTACAAATTCCTCTCAGCGTTTCGTACTTCATTTGGACACCTGCTATGCAATGCCTTGACAAATCTGGTATCTGAATTTCTTAATATCAATGATGCTGCGCTTCAGTCATCAGATGTCCTAGACATTGGCATTTGAACCTAGATCTTTTTTAACATTTATATTTTATTGGGCTTTATAGGTGAAATGTTAATATATACTGCTAGTCCATGTATGATATGCTATGCACTAAATAAGTAAATAAATGAGAGGGTAAAGTATGTGGTTTCCTTCTTCTTTAAAGCTGCAACTGAAATCTAATTTTAGACACACACACAAATACTAACACACACACACAAACTAGCCCTCTTTTGCCCCTCAGTTTTGAAAAGGTCACTGTTATTGCCTTGCCCCAAATGCTGGTGATTTGCAGGCAGCTATTACTGACTGAGTTTAGTGATTAAGAAATGCAACATTTGTTGAGGAGCCAGGCCTTTTAGTCCAGAATGGATTATCACTTGATCCCTTCCTTAAAGCATTTTTATACAAGAGTGCATCATCCTTGGAGCCACCCAGGGCTCCATGCCTCATTAACCTGGTCGTTAGATAAATCAAAGGCAGCCTCCGAGACAAAGATAAGCAAACTGCAGGCCAGCAAGACAATGATGTATGGATGCAGGAGGCTAATAGGAAAGTATTGACAGGGAAATGGTGTGCTTATCCTGCAGTCACTGCATATTGCTAGGAGAGCTCCCTGAAGCAGATGGGGATTCACTTGAGGGAATGCAGGAGTCTGAGATTGCTTGACACAAATATGTCCCTCTTCTCTTCAAACAAGACCACACATTTGGGGGAGCAACCAGGGCAAAAAGCTTCTATAGCAGTGACCAGGAAAAAAAAATTCAGATGTATGTTCATTTTGGAAGTATACAAAATAAGGGTCAAAGTCTTCTTAAAGGGCAAAGGAAAAATTAATGCAAGAACTACCATATAACAACAAAACCACTCTCTCAGCAAAATTTAGCAATTTTGATAGATTAATTTTTGGTCATTTTGGGGTTGCCACAGTCTGCAGAATAGATACAAAAGAGCATCACTAGTAGGGACAGCCATGGGACCTTTTTCCTCTTGGGGGTGGTTAGCCATATTTTCTCATTTTGGAGGTTGGGGGTAGATTGATTGATTGAGACTAGGAAACTATTAGTTTACTTGACTCCTGAAAGTGAATAGCGTGGTGGCCTAGTGGTGAAGACACTCGCTTCCTGCTTGGAAAGTTGAGAGTTCGATCCTAAGTAGCGGCAGATGTTTCTCTCTCCCAGGGCACAAAGAGAAAATATAAGTGAACTCTGCTTATGCATCAGGAAGGGCAGCCGGCTAGTAAACTCTTAGCTCCATCCAGTTGCCCTGACTCTACCCCAAATTAAGGGATTACAGGGTCGTAAAAACTTGATTCCATGTCACTGAAGTTCACAAAAGTATTTCTGGCATCAGTGGATAGTTGCCAGAAAGCTCTTCAAATGGGAATAAGCTAGGAGTAATCATCCCCATCCTTTGCCAACATTTGACACCAAAAAAAATATCAAGCGTATCTCCCAATAGTACTGCTCTTCTTTCTAAAGCAATGTACTCATTCCCTCTTTTCTGACAGTGGAATGGTTAAGTAACCCCTATGAAACCATCAGCAGGAGACTGCAAAGGTCACTGATGGTTTCACAACCCAGCATGGGATGCACTGGGGAAGCAGTGATATCATTAACTGTGCACACATTGCCCCATGATTTCCATTGTCTATTTAGGAGCTCTATTAGCAATGAGAGAAAGCCCCAGTTTGTACAATCGATATCTCAATTTAATTTTCAGCCAGCCTTCTCATGGGATGCCAACAATCCTCATTGAAACATGGGGCTGTTGAGTAGAGATGAGAAACTCCAGATATTATGTGCACATTAACACAATTCTTTTCTTCAACTATTCAAGGGATAAACTATAACATTGCTCTTCTGCCCTGCTACCTGCAAGGATTCACACATTTGTGAGAGTGGTGAATGATGCTGCTATAGCTACCATACTAGTGTCAAGGGGGTTCTGTAGGAGGAAGATTGATAATCCTACAGTTTTATCTGATAGTTCTTAGCTTAAGATTGTTACTGTAGAAAAGATATTTGCAGAAGTTGGTGTTACTTAGAAACAGCCCAGCAATCACTGAAAATGCTGCCTTGTCCAGTTAGAATCATAGAATAATATGGCTAGAAGAGACTTAGAAGTCTTCTATCTAGCCCATTCCTGTGTTAAGGGCAGGAGTCCTTGAATCATCCCAGACAAGTCTATTCTTGAAAACCTCCAGTGATAGAGCACCCACAACTCCAGGAGGCAAGTTATTCCAGTGATTGATTGTTTTCCCTGTCAGAAAAGTTCTCGTTAGTTCTAGGTTAGATCTCTCTTTAACAAGCCCATCCCCATTACTTGTTTGGCCCTCTGGTGTTTTAGACAATAAATCAATGCCCTCTTCCCTGTGACAGCCCTTCAAGTATTGGAAGACTACTATCATATCTCCCATAAGCCTTCTCCTTGTTCGGTTAAACATACTTAGTTCTCTTATCCATTCACTATATGAATTAGCCTCCAGACCATTTTTTATCTCTTTTGCTCTTCTCTGTACTCCTTCTAGGTCCTCAGCCTCTTTTTGTGTGTTGTGGTGACCAGAACTCAATGCACTGTTGCAAATATGGCATCACTGGTGGAATATAGAGCATTACTATCACTTCCCATGAGGTTGATGCTTATCCCTCTGTTGATTCAGCCTAAGTTTACATTGATTTTTTTCTGGCAGATGCAGCACACTGCTGGCTCATATTGAAATGACAATCCACCAGGCTACCCAGATCCTTTTTACAGGTACTTGAGTTGTGTTAAGTATCTTTGGCTGACACTTTTGGTACAAACCAGGCTGTTTAATTAATGTCTTGCTACAAGTTAAGACTATAATAGTGGTATTTTCTGACCTTCAGTATTTGAATGGTTGAACAATGATTATTATTTTGTGGGCAGCTTGTAGCTAAAGAACAAGGAGCTGTCTGATAAAGACATGTGGAATTACTTATGAGTAGTTTTCTTTATTGTTCTTTACCTAGTGACAGAATCTTGCTAGACTAAAGCAACTATTTGCATAATTATATACTTTGGGAATAGTTAGGGAGGAGCCATTTTAATCTTCTTCCTACTGACCAAACTTTCTAAGCTCCACTCTTTGCCCTCTTGAAAGCAGCCTCTCCCTCCTGGGAATCCAGACTAGATTTTACCATACTGTCAACCCTAATCTTATTAATCTGAGCAGGAATGACTGCAAGGGTTGGGGAGGGTGGAAAAAGTCACTACACAGAGGGTGGGGCATCAGTTTACACATATACAGACCCCTCAAGATGTCCTCAAATCTGGGAATCTCATAGAGCAGGGGTGTCAAACTCTAATGTCACATGACGTTTCGTGATGTATCACAACTTTTTTGCCATTGCTGGCAATGGGGTGGGCATGGTTTTGCTATGATACATCCGGCCCTTGGGCCGGCAGTTTGACTCCCCTGTCATAGAGGAATTGATTCCTCACACAAAATTTACAAAATTTATTAATATATCACCTATCAGAATCACACAGTATTGTGTTTTTCCACCTACGAGGGAAATTCCCAGTGTTTTGCCACAAAACATTTGAAATAGCAGGAATACAGGAACACTCCAGAAGCTGCAATTCAATGTGGTGTGCTTGGGATATGAGAGAGCTGAACCCAGGCTGTGAGTAAATATGAATAAAATGAATAAACAAGATGTTCAAGCTAAATCCTTGTTATAAATAGGACTTAGTAGAGCTATTTGTCATATCTGGAAAAAAAAATCTAATGTTTGATACATTTCCCCAATGAACAAAAGTGCTTCAAAAGGGCAAAGTTTGGAGATGATGGACATTGTAGTCCAATACTTCAGAAGCACATGTGGTTGAATATATCACCTCAGAATGTAGAGTTCTTTCCAATTTAGTTCCGTGTGAGACAAAGTGGACCAGAAACTCCCTTTCTTGGGAGTCAAATTATCACCTTTTATATCACATGTTATATGAATCTGCTCCTTAGCCGACACTTAGCAAATACATATCTTTTGTCTTTCACTGCTCGTTTTGTTACTCAGCAGAGTGTGCCAATCTCTGCAAGTCTACTCAAATGTAAGACTTATTTTTCCAAATTAGGAGAGCCAGTTTAGTGTAGTAGTAAGGACATTAGGCTAGAAACAGAAACAGTGAGTGCTAGTCCCACCCTAGCACAAAGCCATCTGGTGACCTTTGGCCAGTCCCTCCTTCTCAGCTCTAGGAAGGAGGAAATGGCAAATCACTTCTGAAACTTTCCCAAGAAAATTGCAGAGATTAGTCCAGAAAAAAAAAACAACCCCTAGATTTGATAAACTGAATGAGAATCAAATATACGTACATCGACATAGACATAGATATACTGTAGACATAGACAAAAGACTCTTTGATCAAACCAATTTATATTTTATACTCCAGTTTTCAAAACGTGGAGACTGATTTAAGGTTAACAATTAATATTTCATACAATTCTAAATATGCTCTTAGGGGTTTATATAAGAAGGAAGATAACCAGTTTGGTATAATGGTTAAGGAATCAGGCTAGCAATTGGGAGATTATGAATTCTAGGCCCATCTTTAGCACAATGCCAGTGGGTAACTTTGGGCCAGTCCCCCTCTCTTAGCCCTAGGAAAGAGGCAATGGCAAGTCATTTCTGAAACCTTGCCAAGAAAATCATAGGAACTAGTCCAGGTAATCACCAGTCACCACTGGTTCTCTCTCTCTCTCTTCCTCTCCCTCTCCCTCTCCCCTTCTCCCCCCTCTCCCTCCCTCCCTCTCTTACACAGGCACACATGAGGCTTGCAAAAGTTTACAACTTCAATCAATGAACTGGAAGGATGTTGTGTTTACCTTCTGTTCCTTCCCACCTTCTTTTCTGCTATGTTCAATAGGTTTGTGGCTTTTTGTGCTTACCTTTCAAAAGGATTGAAAATACCTCAAAATACTTCAATCCAATTATTACCCTGGTGTCCCATTTCTCTCACAAACTTCTTTGCTCTTTTCATTGATATTTACTCTTTTTTTTTTTAATCTAAACACTTACTGAAGAGCTAGGGAGCAGTTTGATTAATGGAATTTCAAAGCAGCTCTTGTACTCGTCTAGTTATTATTCAGTGAAGCTGCAGGTATTCCATCCACTCAGTGGTGGTCCTTGTAAGTTTAACAGCTTCCTTTTTTATCTGGTCTGCCCCTCTGGCTCACAGCTGTGCCTCTGATGGACTGGCTCATAGTGCCATGGGGGATTGAGAGGGTGCCTCCATTACTCATCTGTGACAATAACCAATCAAGGAAGATGTAGAACTCAATTCCAGCAGAAAGACCTATAATGCCAGAGTCAGGAGGTTATCGGAGAAGGACTTGCACCTTGCTCCCTACTTTTCTTATCAAGAGCTTTACAGTTAATGCCGGAGCTGCAGTTTGCAAAGCTGAGAGGTGCAGATTAAGGGTCCAGATTACTTTGCTTTTTTCCTAAATGCTTCAATCTTGATTTAAAAGTAACAGCAAACAAGAAAGCTAAAAGGAAGCCCTTTTTTTTGCCAGCCCACAATATATACAATCTTTTGTGTAAAGAATATTAGGAAGCAAATGCAAACTGGATCAGATTACATTCCCCCTCTTCCCCCCCCCCCCCCGCCATGTGGTGTCTTTGGTCAGATTGTGCAGAATTGTGGAGAAAGACATCTGTAGCTCTCCAGTTGTTGCTAATTTCAGTATCTCCTAATTCTGGCTATTCTGGTGGGGCATCAACATCTGGAGAGCTACCGTTTCCACAACTCTGAGGATAATTTTATGGGTGATCAGAGTTGTACAGTATTAGGTTTCAAAAGTATGATGCAATGAATCGTTGAAGATATAACAATTATTCTAATTTTTCTCAGTGTCCCTACAGAAAGACACTTGGACAAGTTACTCCATGTATATCTCCACTTTTGCTTTCGGTGAGTTTCATTTAAATGATTTTCACTTACGAATGAAGGCAAATATATGTGTCCCAGGATAATGTTGCAGGATCCAATCTGGGTCAGCCACCAGGGCCATGTTTTCGGACTTCATAATGGAGCCCGTCCTCATGCATTTACCACCAGCTTGTCAGATATTTAGGAATCAAGGACTTGGCAGCACAAGAAAACAAGAGCCAATGACTTAATAACCAGCCATCAACACTCCAATCAATAACTAAAAAGCCACACCACATAAATACACCCATAGAATATCCCAAAGCACACATTCTGGTAAGTTTCTTGAGGATGGGCTCCAAGTCAAGTCCAAAAGCTTGGAAGACTAAACCTCTAATCTCAATAACCAATTCAGCTTGGATACTGTGATTTTTACTTACCACTACTTTTTCCTGAGCATAACCTACCAAATGTACACCTAATTTTATTTCGTATGCTGTTTCAAATGACTTATTTGTGAGTACCCATGAAAAAAGAAAAGTAGAATAGTAGAATGTTTTTTAAATTTTCCACTTTTTTTAGGGGTCTCCATGTTCACATCAAATGCCGGTGTCATAATATGAAATTTAAGGGAGGGATTTTTTTTTTTTTTTTTTAAAGAATTTGCTAAATTTGAAATAAATGCTGGCTTTTGAATGGCTGTTAATGTAAAGTGAACTTTCTTGATGTGACTGAATTTAGTAACTAAACGTATGCAAAATTTTTCATATGGTCTTGGAAAGTTTCTTTTGTTAAAAAAAAAAACAAAATTCACATATCAGCAACAAATATTAGAAAACCTAGCAGTGTCTCACAAGATTTTTTAAGACACCTGGTGCGTAGGCAGCATACTGAGCAAAGATTGATCTCAAGACTTGCTGCTGTGAATTTTAAGCCTCCTTGGAAAGTATAATTATGCTTCGGTTTTAACTATGTACCACATTATCTTAATTATATATTATGTGGGTGTAAGCCAAAGAATGGTAAAATACCATAGTTATTTGTTTTCCCTGCCAAAGCATGACAGTTATGTCTTATTGAAATCATCAGTTTTGATTTATTGTTTTTTTTATTAAACCACACTCAAAATCATGATGAAATTTTGGCAATCTATATTTATCAGCATCTGGTTATTTACAAAATATAGATTGCCAAAATTTTGTGTGGCTTTCAGTAGAGCAAAGACAAGATAGCAACTACATCTGTAACTTTCATTTGAATTCTTTTAGAGTAATATAACATTCATCATACAATATCAGACACATTTAATAATAGAATTCCCATTACACTTTTAAGCAAACCTGTATTTCAAATTAACAATCAGAAGCAATATTTTATCAAGCCAATCAATTAATAAATACCAGCTAAGTGGGACTTTTTTTCCTTCAGAAATGTAGAGATTTCACAGATGTTTATGTGGAAATTAAAAACTGGAAGCTTTCAAAGTGCTTCTAATTCCTGCATTATTATGCATTATTGTACAACAGTTCAGTTTGATATTGTTTGGTACAGACAATTATTGCATAAATCATTAAAACATTAGAAATATAATGGCCTGAAAGTGGAAGTCTAGTGAGTTTTTGTAGGAATAAAGTACCCCTGGACTGCAAGATGATCAAAGCAGTCAGTCCTAGAGGAGATCAACGCTGACTGCTCTTTAGAAGGCCAGATCCTGAAGTTGAAACTCAAGTAATTTGGCCACCTAATGAGAAGGAAGGACTCACTGGAGAAGAGCCTAATGCTGGGAAAGATGGAGGGCAATAGAAGAAGGGGACAACAGAGAATGAGGTGGCTGGCTGGAGTCACTGAAGCAGTAGGCATGAGCTTAAATGGAGTCCAGAAGATGGTAGAGGACAGGAAGGCCTGGAGGAACATTGTCCATGGGGTCGCGATGGGTCGGACATGACTTCACAACTAACAACAACAACCAAGTACTAACAAACATAAATAAAAGGTAAAACGTAAAAGTATTGAAAACATAAATTTTCAATTTTCAATGGATAATAAATGGGAAAGCATGAGGAAACCAATTGAAGTTTTACTTCATCTCATTGGCCATGTATTAATGAACAAGTACTATAGTATTAATATATTTAGTTTACTACTTAAAGGCAATTCATTCAGAACAAAGGACAATAGGACATAAATGTTTTGGAAATTTTTAATCACTTTTCATCAAAGTTGCTTTCAAGAAAACCAGGAAACCTATGTATGATAGAGTATATAAAAGTCTCCCAATTGCCAGTTCAATGCTTATCCGTTGCTTAAATGGCACAGATGAGCCAAGAAAGATCTTCTGTCTTGAGCAGGGGGTTGGACTAGAAGACCTCCAAGGTCTTTTCCAGCCCTATGATTCTAACAAGAAGTGTGTCCTCAATTCTAATCCAGTATGGCACCAGAATTACATTAGCAATTCCTGAACACAGTTATTCTTCTGGATCTAGTTCCACTACTCTGTGCAGCAAGTGGCAAACAGTCAACAATAAGTAATAATTTTGAAAGTTAAAACCAATCAGCACTTTAAATCAGTGTCTGCTCCTTTACATTAAGAACATCTAAATGAAGAAGTAAGCTTTGACTCCTTTTCCAAAATCAAAAGAAGTAAGGGTAGATTGCCAGTGGCTTTCATAGAAATGGAAAAGAAAGCCCATTCTTGTGTGCTAGGCAAAACTCCATAAGTGAAGGCAGAAGAAGTTGTCTTTTCTTTACCAATCTCAATGTCCCAATAGGGATAGAATCAAGATCACGTGAAGTATTCATACCACTTTACAATGCCTTGGTAAGGCCACACTTGGAATACTGCATCCAGTTTTGGTCACCACAATGTAAAAAAGATGTTGAGACTCTAGAAAGAGTACAGAGAAGAGCAACATAGATGATTAGAGAACTGGAAGCTAAAACATATAAGGAACGGTTGCTGGAATTGGGTATGTCTAGTTTAATGAAGAGAAGGACGGGGGGGGGGGACATGATAGCAGTATTCCAATATCTCAGGGGCTGCCACAAAGAAGAGGGAGTCAAGCTATTCTCCAAAGCACCTGAAGGCAGCACAAGAAGCCACAGATGGAAACTAACCAGGGAGAGAAGCAACCTAGAACTAAGGAGAAACTTCCTGACAGTCAGAACAATTAATCAGTGGAACAACCTGCCTCCGGAAATGGTGAATGCTCCAACACTGGAAGTTTTTAAGAATAGATTGGACAGCCATTTGTCTGAAATGGTATAGTGTTTTCTGCCTGAGCAGGGGGTTGGACTAGATGACCTCCAAGGTCCCTTCCAACTTTTTATGATGATGATGATGATGATGATGTATCCTGCAATAGGTTGTCCTTCAGTTCCATTCTTATGGAATTAAGGTCTAAACAAGACCTTCATCTGCCATCAGCTTGACAAGTGAAAACATGTATATGAAGTGGACTCTTAACTGCAAAAGAGCTATTTCAGAAAACTATAGTTGCCTATGAAGTGTCTGTGGTGATTCTCAATCATCCAGATCATGGCTGTCCCAAAGGTACTTTTCAAAAGGCAACTGGACTTTCTTAGTTTTTTTTCTCGAAAACATTTTGTTTCTCATCCAAGAAGCTCCTTCAGAACTGTTTTCAAGAAAAATGTTTTCAGGAAAAAACTAAGAAAGTCCAGTTGTCTTTTGAAAAGCACCTTTGGGACAATTCCCTATTAAGATTCTAACACAGAGCTAATCATTAACATTGCAACAATATCAGTTTGTAAATTAAATTATATGAAGTCTCAATTTCTGGAATTAATCTCTTTTCATGATACAAATCAGTACATACTGAAACAACTAAAGCCTTTGTTCATTAGAGTTTTCTCACCCACCCTTATCAACACAACACACAGGGAAAATGATATAGTATTTTCCTTTTATTTTCTTGTTTAGAGGGGACTACCAAAGAATACTATATTCTACTTCCATTGTTCTGTTCTTGCCATGCAGCTTGACTTTGCTTTTTTCTCTCATGCAGCTTAAAGTTCACTTAACAGATAATGGAGACAAAACACTCAGACATCAATGTGATAGAAGGCAGGCAGGAAGATAAAAGCAGGATTCCTGCCATTTACCATAATCTACCACCTACAGCAAAGATGGAATTTATCCAGGGTTAATCAGAGGCAGGAGAAGTCTGCAACCTCCAGTTAAATAGTCAATAACTAGAAGGCCAGTTGGCATATTGTAATTTCTTTAAGATAATTAGAATATCTCTCCAATTCCTAGCACTTTTTTCTTGTTGTCAATTATTATTTTTAAACTATATATTCATGGATTAAAAGCCTCTCTCTGTATAATAATCAAGGTGAGATGCAAGTTTATGCTCAATCCATTAAAAAAACTGAAAGAAATACAAAGGTTGACTGGGACAGATCAGACTGAAGAATGTTTGGCAAGGCTGTCACAATTTCAAATCCATGAAATTGGATACTAGACAATTTCAAAATTCAGATGGTGACCCGATCACACCAAATGGCACACTGAATTTGTTTCACAATTCCAGCTAGGTCAGAAGAACTGTTTCAAGCTTGACATAGAATGTTTCATGTTGAAGATATTTAAATTTTTCACACCTAGGCTGGAAAATTAGGATGTGTCTTTTTTTGCAAGAATACCATTATCAGGTTTAGGGCACCCTGTCTTGTGTATAATGCACAACCATAATCTCTGGTACCCTTCACAACAGCAGTTTTTTTTCTATATAATATTTTCCAGTTTAGGATGATTAAAAAGCAATATATGTACTGTATTGTATCTCCAGGTATGGGTGAGAGACTAAGTGCAGTACAGGTGTTTGTCAACTTACAACCATTCATTTAGTGAGCATTCAAAATTACAACGGCACCGAAAAAAGTGACTTACGGCTGTTTTTCACACTTACAACCCCATGGTCATGTGATCAACATCTGGATGCTTGTACCATTTGTAACTTTTTGTCAAGCAAATTCAATGGGGGAAGTCAGATTTGCTTAAGGATTGCATGATTCATTTAACAACTGCAGTGATTTGTGGCAAAAAAGGTCATAAAACGGGGCAAAACTCAACAACTGCCTGGCTTAGCAATTTGGGCTAAGTTTTGGGCTCAATTGTGTTGGTAAGTCGAGGATTACCTGTATCACAATTCAATATAGTATTCAAAGCAGTGTAATCTAATGGCTATTTTTTTTATACGCTTCTACTCAGTCCTCAGTTAAATCTTCTGTCACCTTTAGATAGTGAATGAATCAAGAATAACAACAAATCAAGAAAACATAAACAAAATAGTATTGGAACAAATATTCAATCATTATTAGCACAATCAGACAAAATCAGTACCAATTTAGCATAAAATCTGCCTAAAAACAGAATGTTGGGGAATATTTTTTTAAATGACTTAAGCAATGTAATAAAAAACCCTGCATAAATGAAGATCTATGATTAACTTAGAATAGAAAAGTCACAGTTTAGCAACTGGGAAAATTCCATATAGGTACAGTTTCTCATAATCAAGAAACCACTATCCCATAGTCATGTTAATAGGAATTGTTGGGGAAGAGATTAAAATCATACTGTCAACGCTGCAAATATTGTATATTCTTGCTTTGACAATATGCAGAACTGTCTGGTATTTTTGGGGTTAATACAGAGCAGAAGGGGGGTGGAGGTAAAGCCCGGGAGAGAAAGAGGAAGGAAACCTTTGACCTTCACACTAATTGGATAATGTGATATATGACAGCTAATTTAGGGAGGGAACATGCTGATAATTTAACTGCTCAGAGGAAGAGAACTTAGATCTTAGCATAAACTTCATTATGCCTGTGCCGACATTTTGAAGCAATAAAAGACTATTAGGGAAATCAATGCCTGGAAGTTCTTTGAAGTGTTTCATTAGCCGGAACCGTAACACATACACTCCCCATCTTATTCTTTGCAAGATTATTGTCCCAAATGGACTGCAGGGAAAATCAAGTAGGTTGTCCAGAGCATGAGCAGCTAAGACCATATGGGGATTTCAGACTGCACACCGGAGTTCTATGGCTCAGTTCTGGATGTAATTATCCTTAGACTAGAGTCACTGAAATCAAGGGGACTTATCATTCTTAATATTAGTCATTTACATTACATGAGCAAGATACCGGTCATTCTTAAGCCCGCTTGATTTCAGAATTATTTGGCTCTAATATGAACTGCACAAATTAACAAGAGGCTGACACAGTCTCACTATTCTTTTTTTTTTTTTTCAATTCTCCTTCATCCTACAAAACTGAATCAGCACTTAGAGGTCTGTTTTTGTTTTTGTTCTTTTCAGAAAAGATAGTTGGTCCCAAATATGGGAGTGCTGATCAAGACTTTCAATCCACTGGCATCATTTCGTGAACAATCCATATCTTTAGCTTTGCAAGCTCAGTTTAACATGGATGCAAGATTTGCTTATTAATGTGAAAAACATACGTTCCATTTTCCAAGATAATAACATATCTAGCAATAGCAACAGCACTCAGACTTATATAACACTTCACAGTGCTATACAGTCCTCTCTAAGTAGCTTACAGAATCAGCCTATTGCTCCCAACAATCTTGGTCTTCATTTTACTGACATTGGAAGGCTGAGCCAGCCTTGAACCACTGAGAATTGAACTGCTGGCAGTTGGCAGAATTAGCCTGCAATATTGCATTCTAATCACTGCGCCACCACAACCCATTCTATATAAATTTTGTTAAATGCATATGTTAAAAATGTATCACAAAAGCAGAATGTTTAATACAGGTTTAGATTTATTTAGATGTAGATGATATAGATCATTATCTACATAGACATAATGTATGTACAAATTTAGCCTTGCAGTGACATTTTTGTTTCCCTCCCAACACGGAGGACAATGTCTTCCAATGATGATAAGCTTAGTCTGTATGACAAACATCAAACTCATGAAATGGATATTTCTAAATTCATGCAGAAATAAGATGGTTTGGCTCCCAGATGTAAAGACAACAACCACGAACAAGACTTCAGCTTGGCTTCTAGGTCTTTGATTTGATTATCAATTAGCTCTATCTCACACCCACCCTTATATATTGAATGCATTTTTTTTTTACCTTAAACAAAAGATGAGTCTTATTCAAAAAAGGGTTGGCCTCATTTCTTTTTCTGGTTTTATGTCACACAGGGGAAACATGCTTTTGAGACATTACCTCTGAATTTAGCAGGGACAAGAGTTTACTGCGGTATAGTCATTAGTCAATGCACTAGCTGAAACCTTAAACAAAAGAAAATAAACTACACACAGGCAAGCATCCCCCGAAGGCACATCAACCTACCAGTAACGTGAAGCAGGGATTTCAAACACCACTGCCCTAGCATGTGGTTAAATATTGCTCCTCCTGACTTTAAACAGCCCTCCAAGGAATACAATATCACCATCGCCATTGAAATGATGTTGGAGAGCGAGGGGGCTGGGGGGGCTGGGCAGAAGAGTGAAGAACGGCATGTTTTTAGCAAATGCACTTCTTTTTAAGTCTTCAGTAGCAGGGACTTCATGATCATTATACTTTTCAGCTCCCTAAAATTTATCAGCACAAGGAAGCCTGCCAAAATAGTAGTAGTAGTAATAATAATAATAATAATAATAATAATAATCCCAAAATAACTGGAGCACCACTTGAACACCATTGGCATTGACAAATTCGCTATTAGTCAATTGCAAAAGGCGACCTTACTAGGAACTGCTTCCATCCTGCAACGATATCTGTAATACCATCAAACATCCATATCTGCCTATCCCAGGTCCTGGGTAAGGAGTCGATAGGTAGACAAAATGCCAAATCCAGTCTGAACATCTGGCTGACTGTGCGATGATCAATAATAATAATAATAATAATAATAATAATAATAATAATAATAGACGATATCTGTAATACCATCAAACATCCACATCTGCCTATCCCAGGTCTTTGGTAAGGACTCGATAGGTAGACAAAATGCCAAATCCAGTCTGAACATCTGGCTGACTGTGCAATGATCAATAAATAATAATAATAATAATAATAATAATAATAATAATAATAATGAGGAGGAGGAGGAGGGAGGAGGAGAGGAGAAGGAGGAGGAAGAAAAGAAGAAGAAGAAGAAGAAGAAGAAGAAGGAAGAAGAAGAAGAAGAAGAAGAAGAAGAAGAAGAAGAAGAAGAAGAAGAAGAAGAAGAAGAAGAAGAAGAAGAAGAAGAAGAAGAAGAAGAAGAAGAAGAAGAAGAAGAAGAAGAAGAAGAAGAAGAAGAAGAAGAAGCAGCTTGCTAATCCTCTTTGGTGTTCTTTCAAAACTCACTGCAAAGACTTAGCATTAAAGAACATCGTCCATTGATTTGCCATTCCTGGTCTTGTAAAAACATTGGAAATGAACCAAAGCATAGTTTTCTGAGTATGCAAGCAGAATTGCTTGCCAGTGGTTCATGTGATTGTAATGGACATACTCTCCCCAATGGGACAGCTGATCTTTTATGAAGGGTCTTATTTAGAGCAGCAAATGGACCATTTAAATAGTCTGGGAAGCTGAGAAAATATAGGATCAAGTGTCTCCAATGGCAAACGGTACCTTAAAAACTAATAAATGTATTTTAGCATAAGCTGCCATGAAGTGCAATCTGATGAAGTGGATTGTAGCCCTTGAAAATAGATCCATATGAGTATGTCAATCTTTAAGGTGTCATAAGATTATCTGCTGTTTTTGCACAACCTAATCACAACACTCTCCTGCTTTCAAAATCAAACCTTTCAATTTGGAATCTGACCCTCTGTGACTGTGTCTGTGGGTAGGTGTGACAACTTTATTAATATAAACACAACCTACTCAAAGGGACACGTGAATAAGAACAAACTATTGCACAAAACCTATTTGAACATTCAAAACTTTAGGGCTAGATCCACAAGCTCTATATACACATTTAAAGGAATTCTGTACTTCTGTAGTTAGAAATATTACCTTATATAGCTTATATCCCCCTTTTTTTAAAAAAAAAAAAAGAATTGCATTTTCAGACATGCAAAATTATGTTAGTGTAGCTTTACAATCAAGTCGAAATGGCTTTTCTGTTTGGTGTATCTAGAAAGGCTGATACTTATCTTACAGGCTTGAAAGTACAGTGGTCTCATCATCTCCTTTAAAGCCTGAGAAAC